CCCCCCCCACCCAACCTAATGCCCCACCCCACCCCACCCCACCCAACCTAATGCCCCACCCCACCCCACCCCAACCTAATGTCCCACCCAACCTAATGCTTGCAATCATATGTGTGCATGTGTCTGTGTCGCGAATGAGAGAGATTTGGTGTCGCACATGAGAGGAATACAGGGGGGTGGTGGTGTCGCAAATGAGTCCGATTTGGTGTCGCAAATGAGTCCCTTGCCCACCCAAAGGCTACAACCAGAGCCCCCCCTCCAGCCGAAAAGGACACCGCTCCACCATGCTTTCGCCTTCGCCTTCGTCTCGTCGCAGGAGTCCTTCATGGTGACGCCCAAGGAGGCCGAAGAGGTGAAGTCCTTGGCCAGCAAGGCGAAGAGCGGCCAGGCGCCCCGGGGGTCGGAGGTGACCCGCGGGCCCGTGGGGGGGGGTTTCGGTGGTTCGGAGTGTCTTGTACGGTTGTTTTTGTGAAGGAACACATATTCAACGGTTCCGGGGTCCGGAGGATCCGAGGGCCGCTCTTTCTTCCAAATCATCCGACTCAAAAAGATGGTTTGTCGTCGTCTTTTGTTTGGGTCGGATCTCGGAAGCTCCCTCCGAAGTGGCAGGACTATGACTTCTCGAAGATGCCGGCGGAAGCCTTGCAGAGGTTGGAGGCGCTCTATACCAGTATCAACGCCAAGGCAACTGGGCGGGAGAACCGAAACGCCGTGAGCGGCCGACAGGCGGCATTGTTTGACGGTCTCCAGATGTCAAACTAGACTCCTTCAGGCAGGGAAGGAGTCGGAGAAGGACCTCATCCTCCATCTTCTTTTCGGAACTCGCTCAACACGTCAGGAAGGGGAAAGCAATCACTTTCACCAGAAGTTCACTATGTTGGTTCAAAATTTTACCAACAAAACTAGAGTTTTGTTGATCCAGCAACCTTTCTCTTTGGAATCGACTGCTTCCCAAAACTACCTTCCTTCCATCAAGCTGGCGGGGGCAGTAGCCGTGCCAACAGGCACGTCTGAAGTGTATTCATCGGTGCCTGTTGGGTTGTCTATTGAATTTGAAAGATTGATCCTGTTCGGTGGGATGGCCCAATTATGGACTAGCTATGACTAGCTCGAGTATATTAATGTGTTTCTAGATATTCTGTGCCGCACTGTCAAAAGGAGAAGACACACCGACCACCTTTCTGGTGTCTATTCTAATTCTGAGACTCCATGCGGGTTTTCATCGACGACTGATCGTCGAATCGTCGTCCCAGGTGGGCTATGCACTTCCCGATGGGTTGGGTGCCAAGCCCTTGACGACCACCTCTGACAGCACAGCCAACTCCTATGTGGACAAGGCCGATAGCTCAGCGTCCTGCTCTCCGGACGAGTGCGGGACGTAACGAGTGGTTGGAACGAGTGGTCCTGGACCTATGTGGATTAAGTGGACAAGTGGTGGAAATTTCGAGTCCAGGACTCAGGACCTTTCGTTTCTCGGTTTTGGGGTCTCGTGAACAAAAACAAGCATCGGCCAGGTCAACGCGCAGCTGTCTGCGGCCACAGCCAAGCTCAGAGATGCCCGCTTGAAGGCCTTCGTGGAAGCCTTCTAAAGGCCTGGAGATTTTGGGAAGGAGTCTGTTGGTGTCCAGATTATTTAGTGGATTGCAAATCGTGAAACAGTGCAACGGGATCCTTGAACACTTGCAGATTGATTTTGCCGCCTGGCCCAATGCAGCGAGTCCTCTCCAGAGGTTGTTCTGAGCTTTTGAAAGGAATTCGATTCTCACCAAGCAATGCAGATCTTCGTGAAGACCTTGACGGGCAAGATCATCACCCTGGAGGTCAATATCGTTGATAATGTCAAGGCGCAGATCGACAATCAAAGCAACCTATGAGCAGGAGAAGCTGATCTTCGACTGGGAAGTAGCTGGAGGACGGTCGCGCCTTGTCGCTCTGCAAGGCTCCGCCGTCCTGCTTGCCGGCGAATGTCAGATTACAACATCCAAAAGGAGTCGATCCTCCGCTTGGTCCAGGTATACAAATGCATAGAAACTTTATGTGAAGACCTTGGTAGGCAGGCAAGACCATCACACTGGAAGTCGAGGCCAAAGACACTACTGACAAAGTCGATTCAACGTTGTCAATAGTGTCAGGCCAAACAGATCGACAAGGAAAGCATCCCCCTGACCAGCAGAAGCTGATCTTCGACTGGGAAGTAGCTGGAGGACGGCCGCGGCCTGTCACAGGGCTCTGCCATCCTGATGCTGCTTGCCAGCGAATCTCAGATTACGACATCCAGAAGGAGCCGACCCTCCGCTTGGTCCTGTTCTTGCGTTGATTCGCTGGCTTTTTTCTTGGCTCCTAGTGCTGCTTTGCAGCACTGTGTTGTCTCCAACACAAGACAGACCCGCAAACACGTTGGATGATCCAGCGTCACCAGTCACCACTTCGGCCAACAATAAAACTATAGCAAACTACTTGTGTTGTGATTCGTCTCCTTTCTTGTTTTAAATACACCCCGAAGAAGCGAGCTGCGTGCTGGGTGTAGGTGTAGTTTTGACTTCATGTTCCTCGGACCAACACAACAAGTATAGTTCTACGCCTGTATTATTGTGTGATATTGTGCGTTTTGTTATGTTTCTTTATAGTATTTTGCTGCTTCGCTTGAGTGGTCTTGTTGAATGCATCGCACAGTAGCGTTTGATTAATCTGGGAATCATACTGGGCTGGTGTGAGATTGAACTCTCAGTTGCATGACAGTCACTCACTGCAGGCACTTCTCCGGTCGACAGCCTCGGGTGGCCATTTCAATTGGGCACATGGTACACCTTGTCACCTTCTCTACAGCGCGACCTCGACGGTTCTGACTGGTTGACTTGAGCAAAAGATCAGGTGATGTAGAGGGCGCTACGAACGGAGCATTTCGGGCATCGCTACGTTCGGAGCGATCGGATGCTACTAGTACGAACAGGGCTGGCCGTTGGGCCGTCGCCGATGGATACGCGCGTCTCTTTTTTTGAGCGGTGGGTGTTGACGCTTTGATGCGCGTTGGGTCGTGTTTGAAACTCGCAAAGCAACGGTCTGGAGATGCAGTTGAGTAATGGCTTTTGGAACAATGGGACCAACAGTTTCGTTGCATCAGGACTTGCCCTTTGCATCCTTTTGCAGGGATTTCAGTTGCATCCTCATGAAAGCTCTCAGTTTCAAGGACCCAGCTGGTCACGGGTATGTTTTCGAGGACCCTGAACATTGGGAGAAATCCCTGCAAGACAATGTTCTGAAAGTATACTCATAGCCAACGAACCTGACAGGAGGGTGACCCGCCAACGCAAGTCTAAGACTGAATGTGTGGGGACAGTAGTTAGTAAGCAGAGAGGGTTCAGAAGTTCTAAGGCATGTGTCTTCTTCCTTGGAGGGCGACAACAGTATTTTGTGGGAGTCAGGGGAGTCTATGGTCATGATCATGGAGTTAGTATGAATTAATGTGTTTTTCTATGTTTTTCTCATCATTCACTTCTGATCATCCTCGTGCAAAGAAGACTCCCTTGGCAGGTGTTGAGTGGCCCAGTCGCGGGAGCGTGGAGGAGCGTCCAGAGTTGCCTTGGGCCAAGGATGGATTGAATGTCCCCTGGTTGGATCGAATATGCCTTGAGCATCAAAAACCTACATTTTTGTCGGTTCTGAAGAAGGACCTCGGCTTTTCTGGGTCAATTGGTACCTCGGCTCATGTCCCTAAGATGTTCCTTTATGCCAAGAGTTTGTTTCCTTGAGGCGCCGTTTAATGGGGAAAAACATAACAGTTTTGAGGCTGTGGACAGCGAACCCATAGAAAACCCGTGGCAAACCATGGAGAACCCGTGGATACCCACAAAAGCAAGGGTTCTCAGAAAAACCTCGGCTTTTCCAAACCCATAGAAAACCCGTAGAAACCCATCAAAACCTGTAGAACATCTATGGGTTCTGAGGGCTTACCCAGAGGACGTCATTTCATCGCTTTGCAGTGAATCTCTGTGGCTGGCACGCTCATCAACATGTTTAAGACAAAACACATGTTAGATAATGTTAGTCTTGTGCTATGTCAACAACATGTGAATATCTTTAAAACTCAAAATCCTGGGTTTTCTCGCAAAACCTATTCTTTTCACATGGGACCTATGTTTTGTTAGGTCATTGTTTCTTCAGGTGTATTCACATTTGTGATGTTTCTTTTTTTTGAACCTACTTAATTTATTGAATAGATAAATGCTGATAACGGGGTGGGACTGGACAGTTATGTTCTAGCATGGTAGTAGGTGTGCACGTTTTGACCGTCAGGAAACAACATGGGGACAGCTGGGGCATGCTGGGGCTATCGCCATCGAAAGCAGAACTGTGGCAAAGTTCAAAGGCATGTAAATAGCAGGGTCTTGAAGTGATTCCTTGTTCCATTTTGCTATAAGATGAATTAAGATCACTATCAACTTGAAACCCAGGGAGAATTGAAAGGCTATCCTTTCCGACAAGGCCACATCCTAGTAAGGCATTGCGCTTCTGGGGGCGTAGGGGAGAGTTATCTTGCAACAGCAAATGACTCCTAAAGAGGATCATGTGGGGGGCATTTCGGTCTGAGTAGGCTGACTTTTTCGAATCAGCACACATGATTCTGCCTTAGACAAGGGCCGGATGGATAGAAGATGATAGAAGGGTCTTGAGTCGACCGAGACGTTCGCATGATTCCTTGGTCCAACTCTTTGGAGTGCAGATGAACTCACAAAGACGAGACTTATCGTATCCTTTTTTTACGCGAGAGCTCGCGGCGTGAACTGCTGGTGACGGCACCAGCTCCAAGATGCTCCAAGACTCAGACAAAAAAATATTGGATGCGCAAGAAACAACGCACTTTAGGCGCTCACGAGGTCTCAAAGATGAACATTGGATGCAGGTAGCACAATGCACCATGATCATTGGAGCACAGCTGAGCACGGCGAATCTGTTGGAGGTAGGACTAGATGTGTTGAGGTTTGATTTGTGGAGGAAAAAATCTGCTTGACGCAAGGCAGCGGCTTTTCCCAGAATGATACCTTCCATATGATCAATGGCTACACTTAGTTGAACGATGTTGAGCAAACAGAAAGACACTCCCAATCGACCGGGCAAAAGAGTCTGGTGTTCCCAAGCTACCCTGTTTCTGGTCACTTTTTCCAGGGAGTGTGTGTTGTGCTCTCAGTCCAGGTCATGATATCGTTGGTAAGATGAAGATCCTCACTTGGCCGGACCTGGAGTGGATGCGGTTTTTCATGATTATTCCCTGCACCATGCCCCCATCCTGATTTGGGGGTGTTCATATTGACATGGCAGGTGATGTCTCACGCAGTCATTAGACATGCCGACGGGTTTGAATGATTATATATTATATTATCATTGATAATCATGTCCGGCTTCGATGTCGTTGGCGCTTGCTCTCCTGTCGGGCGTTCACGGCGGAGCCGAACTGAGCTGCACCATTACAGTAGTGCAACGAAGCGGAAGAGTAGCGTGAGCTATTGCTCAGCCTTGGATCTCTCCATCCCCAGCTAGCAGCTACAGGCTGTACCAGCTGTTTTGATGTGTGAGTTTGCCCCAGAAAGCAAATCACTGGACCTTCCATGCTGTTCGATTTTCCTTGTCATGGGAAGCCCATCAGACCTTTCTGATGTTGCATCGGAGCTTTCTATGAACGGTTTCCGACAGGACCATGGACCAGATGGTAAATACCGCTTGAGAACCATACGGGATTCAAAGAAGCACAGGCCAACGGCGATGTACCCCTACAACCCTTTATTAGTTCTTCTTTAGCCAGTTTCTAGCTCTTGAACCAGAACCATGCAACGTCATGGCAAATGGAACTGTTTCTCCGTGCAAGATCTCGCCCAAACATGCCCAAACTAGGCGTTTGGTTTTGGGTGTCGTTTTGGACCTCGCAGATGGCGTTCAGTTGGATGAAGTTGGGTCTTTTTGGGACAGTCCACACAAACAGCTACTAGGAGCAAAGGGCATCGCTACTAGGAGCAAGGACGCTACTAGGGGCTCCTGATGAAGTTACAGTCCCTTTTGGTGGAGACACCTTCCGTCCGGCCGCACCGGACCCGCGCCGGTCGTTGCTGGTCTGATGGGTCGCCCAGGAACGTCAAGTGTAGAGCTCGACGGAACACAGAACTCGACGTCACACGTCGCACAGGAACGGAGCTCTATAAATTGGCAGACCAAAAATGGTCCAGGAACATCATTTGCAACCATTTTGGCAACCATTTTTGCAGCTTATCCTATTGTCTAGAGTAGCTGCAGCGAAGTCCCAACATCCTCTTCCACCAACCCATTTCTCGGTGTTCAACCACAGGCAATCCGAGTTCCACTTTCAAACTCTTCAGAGACTTTGCTGGTCCCGAACGCAGTGCGTCAGCCCGTTTCGAACGCCATGGGCGGTCCGGAAGAGCCGTTGGTGACGCATCTGAAGCTCTTCAATCTCAAGGAGGCCGGGCTGCGCAAGGTGAAAACATGAACACCACACGCTTATTTGGGGGGTGATTTGGTGAGGTTGAACAGAAGCGAAGTCTCGTCTTAAAGTGGGTAGTTTTGGCGGAGTGTTTTCAGA